GGGGGGGGGGGGGCAGCCGAGGCACTGAGCTAGACACTAGGAAGCTCTGCTCCTTGCTGGCTGTGTGACTCTGGACAAGTCCCTTCCCCTCTCTGAACTGAACTGGACCAGGTGATCTGCAAGGTCCCCTGAAGCTCTAAGAGTCTACTGCTCAGCATCATGCAGAGCCCTGCACAGCGGTTAACCTCACGACAACTCTATGAGGTAGGCACTGTCATCACCACCACTTTACAGATGAGGAAACAGCTCAGAGAGGTGAAGCAACTCACCCACAGTCACACAGCAGGCAGGTGGGGAGCTACAACTCAAACCTGAGTCCACCTGCCTCCCCAATCACACTGTTAAACATCAGGCCTCACCCTCATCATCACTCACCCTCTTGCGTGGCCCAGAGAACCTCTTCCTTGCCAGCCCCCTGCCCCCCATATCGCAGCCTCACAAAGACCCTAGAGGCAGTCTGGATTTTTTAAAAACAGAGAAAACCCACATCCCATGGCCAAATAAAACTGCTTAGGTTTACCTGGAGAGGACACCCTTGCAAAGAAAGACAACCAGCCTGCCGCTCTTTCTAGCTATTTTTGTCCCTGGGAAAAGCACTTAGCCTCTCTGCCCTGTTTCTCCATCTGTGAAATGGGAGTCATAAGCTACACTCTCTGGGTGTGAAGATGGAGATCAGCCATGGAAAATGGCTAACCCAGGCTGTCCCCCAGCAGGCACTTGACCTCACTGGGTATCTGTGTGCAGCAGCTACCCTTGGCCATCCGGAAGTCGAGTCCTGGGCAGCCTCCACTATCTGGACCACAAGTGAGACTCAGGAAGAGAACAACAACAGCCTCAAGACCGCTCAGACCAACCCTACAGTGGAGAACCTTGCAGACCCCACCCTAACCAGGGAGCAGCACAGGAAAGGGGCCAGCTGACACCATGCACCTCCTGACACGAAGCAAGAAGGGCCCAGCACGGCTGTGTGCCTTCCTTCAGGAGCACACAACCTACCTCTGACACAAGGAAACAGCGAGGGCCTTTCTCCGCGATAACTGGCACCACTCTTCAAAAATGTCAAAGCCAGGGCTTCTCTGGTGGCGCAGTGGTTGAGAGTCCGCCTGCCAATGCAGGGGACGCGGGTTCATGCCCCGGTCCGGGAAGACCCCACATGCTGCGAAGCAACTAAGCCCTTGCGCCATGGCCGCTGAGCCTGCGCGTCTGGAGCCTGTGCTCCGCAACGGGAGAGGCCACAGCAGTGAGAGGCCC